TTTAAACCGTACGCTACGAATACATTTTAATCGAAACCGTTACGGACTATACGTGTATTCGTGTTGCATACATTCAGCCTCTGCATTCGAACCCGAGTAAGATGCAAATGATTTTCAATCGACCCGAGGTCAAATTCGAATAATCTACGATCGTACGAATTCGATACAGTTCACTCGTATTCGGCAGTAACGGAATAGATCGTGTACGATGTACGTACGCGACACATGAACAAAAATACGTTTATCAACGATTAGTCATTTCTCTCTTTGTTATTCCGAGAAACGAGTTCCGATCTCCCACTCGGTGCTACCTGATTATGGTCACTTGTCCGCTATCCAATTCGGACGGATACGGGACTAGATTTCGTCGAGCCCGATCCAAATGGTCGTTAGCGTATATGATACATTATGACAATGGTCATTTTCTAATCCGAAAATAGGTTAATTTAGCGACAACTGCGGGACATAATCAAATATCAGATTGATATTTTTCCCAACGTTCTTTTCATAAACAATTTGTTATCCTTTGTACTTCAGATAGTGTTTGTGCACCGTATCATCGTCGCGTAGACAATTATTGTTTTGATCGAGTACAATACAACGGTTTAAGATTTTCTTGATTTCACACATCTCGTTGACGATGGCGTATTCATAGAAGGTCTTAATAACGTACATTACATTAACTAAAAATACGAGTATTAAGCTTTTTATAAAATCGAATTTATTTTTTATTACGATGAAGCCACCAAGGGTTCGCGTTCACGACAAACGTGCGTGTTTAATTCCATTCGTTTTCGAGCGTTCTAATTTCATAACATTTCTTAATTTGATGGTAAATATTTAATTTCCCATAGGAATTAATAAAAAAAACTATCTTCGTTATTAAATAAAAGTAATTGAAAATTGAATCACGCATGTTATTTTATTATGGCCTTAAATATGAAGACTACATAATGCAATCATAATGTATGCAAAATACTAACACCATGTATATAGAGTAGAACACAATGGTCATATATAATTTAACTGCCCAAAATTTATTTCGATAAGTTAACGTATATATTATAGTGTATAAAGCCCAAGCATAGACTGCGTATTGTTTATACACATTAATGATATAACATACTACCACAGATTATATGAATAATAATAATAATAATTATATTCATATAAGCTGTGATACTATGAAGTATAGTTTCTAAGAAATGTGCGTTTCTGATAATAAATTGTAATCTGGCATATTCAATCAAAACTATTTCATTATGGCCGACTTCACTCGTGAACTAAGTAGAAATAAATATCTTAATAACTCAACATTAAAATAAAAAATAAAGTGTACAATAATTTTTTAAAGCGCATAATTTATGGCATAAATCTTTAATTGTTAGAAACAGTTGAGCATATAAAATATTTAAAAACCAATTACCTATGATAATATATGAATGTTAAATGTTTACTATAAAATTTTGGTTACTGGTATTCTGGTAAACAAATAAGAAGTTTTGATTATGAACGCTATTCGATGTCTAAATAAAATATGCAAAGTGTCGATTATTTACTTGGTTATTTAGTTAAAAAGTTTTAAATTCCTAAAATATTATTTTATTAGTGTAATAGATAACTTAAACATTTAAAAAACAAACAAATTAAATGTACAGTTGAATAGTTATGAAATATAGGTACCTACTTATAAATTTATGAGCATTCAAAAAACAATCTTTAAATAAAAAAATAACTCTCGAACACGTCATCAAAATATATGTCATAGACTGCGACAAATAATAAAACGTTAAATAATAATTAATAAAAATCAGCACATAATATGAAATTAAAATTAAAATTATATTTGTGAGTTTTATTCGTTATTTTCATTTTATTTTACATAATTATGTTTTTTTACGAGCCGAATTAATATTCCATTAAACTTACATTAATTAATATAATTATTATCTAAATAATATGTTTATTATATACATCGAAGTATACATACATAGCACATTTGCTTACATATGAATACAATGGGATATAAAATATTTAAAACTACAAAAAATGTTTGATGGTACACATTTGATAGGGACTACGTCATAACAACGATTAATATGTTTTCAAATTAAATAAATACTTATACTGATATATTATTGATTACAAAGAGATACAAAACTAAATTAATAAGATACATAATCATATATTTACGGAACACTAATGATTGAATTAATATAACGTATTTTGTTCACTATAATTTGTTATACGTTATACAATGATAATTTTTTGTTTATTATCTTTGACACTTGTATTAGTAAAATATGTTATCGTTGTTGATAAATACGATGGAGTAGATATAGACCATGTTCCGTGGCGATAAATTTGAACAAAATAAGACATAACACCTCTCTGAATTAAGTATATGTCAATGAAACAACGTCTATCGTTCGGAGGGTGGTAATGGTGAATGCGAGGACTGCAAGAAGACAAGGTGTGACAGGTTATCAGCTCGGAATGTAGGTACACCGTTAAAGGATCTCGGTGGTCAGATCACGTTTCTACAAAATATACGTGCTTGTTATCCCAATAAAAATGAAAGTACTTTATTATACCGGAGACCAGGGACAGTGGTCGAAATCAGTGAAAATATTTATGCGAAATATTTTTCCAGAGGGATTTTCTGTCAACATTGACAGTCGTTACAATAAATAATTTGGCTGACTATAGTTTATTTCAAAACTATTAAATAGAGTTCAGTACATCACTATTGTGATAAAATCAGTTATAATCTGATTGTCTATTCATTATTTTTTGGTCGAAGTTTCAGAACGTAATTGACATGGCAACTTTGCGCCGTCTAAATCATAAACGAGTGAGTACATGACACCGATGTCGAACAAAGAAAATTAGACGAGCAGTATTATAGTATTAGATATAGATATTATTGGAATGTTGCAGTATTTGATTAGAACATTTTATGACTTAATGAACTCATTGAACAACCGTTTTACCAGGAAAACCTTCGTAAACGAATAACATATTTTATGCATTGCTATTTGGGTTGAAGGAGAATACATGAAACGCAGTTTTTTCTCTTTGTTATCGCATTCGCGTCTTTTCCAGATGTCTATTGTTTCTATAATATACCTACGTCTGCGTGTAAGTATAATAATTCGCCACATATTTTAGTAAATTTTCCTAATCCACGCCTCTTGAGAAGCATTGTGATTAATGAATACTCGACAAGTGATAATATGAATCATCTCCGAATACGACGTACAGACTGTTGTTAAACCGATAAATTCTATACATAAATCTATACAACACGAAGGTTACACCGTCGCCGTGTTTGTTGTTTCTTCCGTAACCCCATAGCGACAAAAACGTACGACGACGCGTGAGTCACGCCGTTGATTAGAGCAGGGACCGCATGTGTGCGGAGTGCCATATATTTATTGTACTTTTTACTAAGCAAAGAAATGAAATGTGCAAAACTTGTTTTTGCATGGTCTTCCTCAAACTCGCATAAAATCTTATCCTTGACATTCGTTGAATATACGTGCGTCTGCATTAATACTCAAATAGGCAATCAACAACTACACTCCTTAACGGATATATCATACAAAATTAAATATTGCGTGTTATTTTTCAAACACAAAGTATTACTCACAATTATTTTTTCTTGAATATTGTTAAAGAATTGTACCTCGATAATTTTTTCTATAAATCAATTTACACTTACTTAACTAGACATTATTTTTGTCATTAAATTATGTTCTAAATGAGTTTTCGTAGTCTTACCAATCATTGCTAAATTTTGAACTTGTAATCCAACCTATTTTTAACTTACGGGTAAAATTATGCTTCTAGGCCAATGATATTTTATCATAATATTGTAGGCTTATTATTAATCAGTAATAATACGATAATTTTGATACGATTTTTATAATTTTTATGCATAGAAATTATAAGTATATAAATGCACACTTTTTCCTATACTCCGAGAGCTTTAAGATTTTAACTATCCTATATGACCTAATAAATTTTCAACTGTAAACCTAAGCTGCCATCAAACAGAACAAATTTAACCAAACGTATTATTATTGGTTATGAAAAATAATAACTTGAATACTTAAATACTGTAAATGCTATCTTAAACATTCGATTGCACTTCAATTTAACATACGATTACATTACATTATTTTGTAAGACTCATTGAAAATGAAAGTTATGGAAATCAAAATTTGATTACTTTAAGTAGTATTAACTCGGTAACTTAGTACATAGATAATAAGTAATAACAAGCACAAAAAAAATATTCTTAAATAACATTCATGGTAAAAAACCTAATGAATAATGGCTGTACTTCATACATCTAAATAATGAATGGGCAATAGAATATCCATCGAAAACCGGTTTTTTCGTATTCGTCATAAATATTTATAGTTTAGGATACCATATAGACATTTGAGAAGATTAATTTGTAAGTATTAAAATATCACAATCTTCACTAATTTTAATAAACATTGTTATATAGGTACGTTGTATAATTTATTCGAAGCAAGTTGTGTGTTCTTTAAAAACATAAAAAAACATACTTGCAATCTAGTCGTAGTATTAAATATTTGAAAGTTTTGTATCATTATATGGTTTAACACACATATATTATTAGAAGTCATATTATTCAGAAATGAAAAGGTTCGGGGAAAAAAATGTTTATAATTTATTCTCTTGTATTACTAGTTTTGAGAAATAAAATATTAGATTTTCCTGTTATTCATCATTATGTTAATTATGAATTGCTTAGATAAGTTTTGTCTAGTCACATGGATTGTTGGAAAATCTGTATTTTCATTTTATAATCTCGCAGAACATCGTCAATATTCCAATAAAAAATACCACAATACCAACATAATATGTGTAATTGGAATACACTATGTGTGACTACGAGTATTACACCTCACGTGGCGGAACTAATAATAATATTTCGTTAAAAAACGATTGTTAAATATTTTTACCTGATTAGCGAATCAAATGCGTTCAATCAGCAGCTCGTCAAAGGATCACGCAATTGCAATAAAAATACAATCTGTTTCACAACTACACTGTATCACGAAATCCAAAAAGTTCGTTATCGATTGTTCAATTGTTCAATTATTTCCAGCGAGGGGAATTGGGGTGGAAAGGAAAGAAAACAAAGACACGGGGAAACGTTTAACGAAAAACAACGGTCCGTTGTTACACACGAAACAGAATTATTATCATAAAACGATAAACGAGGAGAGTCATTTGGAAGACTCATACGCGTGCCGGTCGCTGATTCAAACTGCCCACCGTGCGCAACGAATAGTCGGAGTCGAGCACGCGTATCTGCATCACCGCCGCTCATGCCACCGTCCGAACCGGAGGGCAGCGCCATCTGTAAGCCGAACACGGTCACCGACGGGCACACGACAACGACGCACGTTATCGTTCAGTGAAAGTAAATTAACAATGATTTAAGTAAAACAACAATAATAATAATAATAATGGGAAAAAAAAGAGCTAAGACTGCACTCCACCTCGTCGCTCATCGTTCATCACTCGTAACCCGGTTATTAGTGGGGCCGTAGACGTTTCGAAATTCAACGGAAAAATATCGTTTTCAATAGCATACTCACCAATTCTTGTATACGCCGTATACCCGGATCCCTGTTTTTGGATTATGCGTATACTTTTAAGAAAATTCGTATATAATGGTATATGTAATAGAGCTCTGCACGGTCCGGTCTTTTTCGGTCTTTGCGTATTGTAATTTTATGTGGTTCGTCCGGTTCGGTCCCTTCTCTAAAAAAAAAAATTGGTCCGGTTTGGTCCATCTTCAATTCAAATTTGGTCTCGTTCGGTCCGGTCCCGTGATCTTAACTTTATATAATTTTATATACTTATATGACGTAGTAAAATAAAAAAATAATTTCATAATATTATTTTATTTTAATTTAGATTATAATGTTTTGGGATACAAAAATAGCTCATCACGTTTTTATAATAATTATTATAGTCTTAATATTCACCCATTATACAGATCTACAAATATAACGCAGGGACACGAGATAATTAATTTACCTGCATTGTGTTTTCAGTATTATTTCCAAATATATACAAATAAGAAAAAAAAACCAAGCAATTATCACAATAATGATTAATAATATATAGATATTTATATACCAATTCCGTGGAAATGATAACGACGAAATAATATGGGATAACTATGTCTATGTTTCTAAAAATTTAAAATTATACTTAATTATTAGGTACGTGTTATAAAAGTAGTAATGAATAATAGTCAGTGGCGCAACCGGTGGGGGGGACCCCGGATTTTCAATTTTATTTTATCGGCTGGTCCGGTCCGGTCCTGATTTTTGTTAAAATGTATCAGTCCGGTTCGGTCCGGTCCTGGTCTTTGTTAAAATGTATCGGTCCAGTCCGGTCTAAAAAAATACGGACCGTGAAGAGCTTTAATATGCAAGCTTCTAATTTTTCATCACCATAAGGCATACATTATACAACAACAGTATAGAATTTATTATTATTATTATTATTATTATTACGTACTATAGCCACTATCCAAAAATAGCCTCGTGCCCGCATAAATTTCGATTAAATTTTCCCCGACTTCGGGTATTTGCGAAACGGTCGGAAGCTGCCGAGCGTCTACATACATCAGAATTTAACCAATATCGGTGGACGCGTACGATATTGTATTGTCGAGTGGATATTATAATTGTTAAAGAAAGATCAATAGTCAAAAAGTTCTGTTTATAAATTTATCACAACATTAACTGATCGGTCTACGATGTTTTGGATAGATTATGATAATTAATTATTATATTGTCAGTTTGTCACTTAGTATTTATTCGTCGCATGTTTGTGCAAATTATTTTAAATTAATACTAAAATATTTTTACACATAATAAAACATTCGGTTACATGAAAATAAATATTAACATAAATATTATGTTTTATATATGATATATACCTATGATCTAATTAAAGATAAGTTTAAAATATAGACTTCCATAGCAAGATATAGCACTTCCATAGCACTTCCAAGCGTGGATCCAAGGGGATTAAGGGGGGCGCGTGCCCACTTAAAATCCCCCAAAAATATTTTTATTTAATTTTTGTACACTCCCAACCTCTTAGAAAAAAAATCTGGCGGGGGTATATCCCACGTCCCCATCATATTATCTAATTTTGAGTTTAGCTAGGTAGAACATTTTTTTTAAGGGGTTTAGCCCCCCCTCCCACCAATAAAAGCTTATGTGCTGAGCATATATCCTAGAAAAAAATTACGAATACACCAAATAAACGTATATCTGTGCGCATGATGCGTATTGGGTATTTTTACCAATTTTTAATGGTCTGTTCGCCGCAGTGCTTGACTTGAGAGGGTACGCAGTGGGACGGAATACCCCAACTAATTTTCAGAAATTTTAGGGAATATTATAACGTTATAATTTTAATTTCAAGTCTTGGGAAAGCTTTTTTTTAAAAATAAACAGAGTCGCCCTTCTTTAATTTTGCCTAGTCAAGCACTGGTTCACCGTCGAAACGACAACGTTGTTTCCTCGGGTTTTCGTGAGAACCGTGTTTACATGGGTTCGCAGGCACACACGCACACACACACCTGTGGGTGCACCGCGGGAACGTGTACGACTTTAAAGGTTACAAAAAAGTATGCATTAATAATGGAAAAAAATATTACGCTTGTTCCGGCCAGCGCGAAAACAATATAAATAAAACGACGATTATTATCGGTGCGCACGAGTCGTGAAAGTCGTATTCGGAGGTTTATTTTAATTTTCGTTCCGAGTGCGCGCGGGGCATAATAGATGTACGCGAAAAAGTCACACAACCCATCTCTCGTCCGTACGCATATACGATATACGTTTCTCCAACACTCCCTCCATTATTGATTTTATTAAAAATGTTTGCATTAATATTTAGTACGAAATTCGTATAAATTTGTATGATAAAAATCAGAATTTGTACGAGTGTATTTTAAAAAAAATTTGAAAAATAATGGTGGAGGGTGGGGCTCCAGAAACGTTTCTCCAGCCTTGTCGCAAAAAAAACGTTAACATTTCGCAAATGTTTTTATTCAAATATATATAACGTAATTTGTACAAATTTTTACGACCACTTGTGAAATTTTTTAAAAATATTTTCCGACCGAAAATCGTTTTTTACGTATTTGGCATTTCCTCAGGCCTCCCAAAAAATTGAAATTAACTTTTTGATAAAATACTTCTTTATCACGAAAGCTTAACAATTATTTTGTAGTTAAAAATTTCAAGTATTTACAATCAAAAATCGAAGCACGATTACTGCTCCAAATTTTGTCCTCAGATACAAAAGTAGAAAAAAAAACACTGCATTGCAAATTACTCCGTTTAGAATTTAAAATTTATTTCAATTTATTAATTAAACTTCTATGTTAGGAATACATCAACAATGTCACACAAGCTTTCTTAAAACTGGTTTTTACGAGTATAGCGATTTAAAAAAAAAAACGAAAATATATAATAATACCTATTTGTAAAATATTGTTAATAGATGTATTTTATTAAGTCAATTACAGTTTTTGGGAGGGCTGGAGAAATGCCAAAAGCGTAAAAAACGATTTTCGAAACATTTTGTTAGGGGTTAAATTACCTATTAAATAATTGAGTAACATAGTCTTGCAAAAAGTTTATTTTTTTTTTTTTTTGGAGGGCTGGAGAAACGTTTCTGTAGCTCTCTCCCCCTATTTTTCAAATTTCTTTTAAAATAAAAACGTACAAATTTTGATTATTATCATATATATATATATATATATATATATATATATATATATATACGCGTATATGTACGCTTTCAGCATTTCGCGAGACAATATGTGCACGCACAACGACGATCGCTTAATGAAATCATGATCTTTACGTGTGACAACGTAATCTCTAATGCGTGATAACGCTCGATCATTCCGTGTAAGGAGCACTGCGCACGTATACTTTGAAAGTTCTAAACAGGTTGTTTTATGTGCACCTATTATTACCTGTATGCTGCTTGTTCGTTTTTTCTAGAAAACGTCAACAACCTGCTGTAATAATACAAACACTCATCTGCGCGTGAGTATAAGACTTACCGACTACAGCGTGATGTAAAGCGAAAAAAATTCTAAATAATTCAAAGCTGTTAGAATAACACAGTTTTATTTTGGATAATAAGTACACACAGACGCACAGACATAGATACAGTGAATAACTAAACGTTTTACAAATTATTAACTCGGTACCTTTCAATTGAATACTTAGTTACGATATTTACAATGGACCTCTATATAATTAATAATGCAAATTTTAAACAATGTACACAGCATTTGACAAATCAATGATACTAATAATTGAAACTCACAAAAACAAAATTAGTTTTGTGTTGTAAATTGCATGACAGTTTCATTATTATAGATATATACATAAATATAATATATTCAAAGTTTATTTTCAACATTTTAAATATTTATAACGACACAGTAACCGAAGTCTATTTTTTTTATACGAGCAACAAAAAGTTTGAAAGTTTACATACATATTAGGGTGCCACTCAACTATATGGATTTAAGAAAAATTGGGTTTTTCAATATCTTACTTCATAGTAGGGTGATTTTTATATTTTAAAATAGTATAATAAAAATATCATTGTAATATACACATATATCAAGGATCCTCAAGTGTATTTTTTTACCCATACGATTAGATACTTTTCACGATAATACTGATTTTTTTATTTGGCGTATTGTTTATGGTTACATGCATTAGGCTAATTATAATATGGTAACGTATAATAAATTTAATTAATGTATAACAAATGAATAATAAATAATAAAATTAAATTAAAAATATAAAACAAAAATAGCGTTGTTAGTAGTATGAGTAACAGTGATTAATATTAATAATGTAACAAAACAATATGTTTAGTATTAGAGTTTAAGTTCTAGTTCCTCTAGCCATTTAATAAATGTGTGAGGGGTTGTGAAACAGTGGATTCTGGGACCTTGATAGGCATGAATTGGACATATAAAGCTATATGGTATACGATATCGATATGTGGTAGATGGTCTGCTTCTCCGTTCGGTAGTCACATTCTAGTAAGTTTCATATCCCATTTGTGCAAGGAATCTGCACATCTACCGTGCGATGTTCGTATCCTATTAAGCGTGAACCACAGATTTCGCTGTAAGTGAAATTCTGTGGATATGTGTCCTGGTGATATGTTACCTAGAATGTTGTCGTTCTCTACCTTGGCTGCCCACGTTTGTTT